AGTTCAACCATTCTGCAATGATGGGCCATCCATGGGGTTTAGCATGATTGTAGATCAAGCAAATGCAATAACTACACTGATTTCTGGTCTTTCTGATGAGGTTTCGGCAATTACAATGGAATTTGAATCAGTCATCTGCACTTCACCAGATGAGAAGACTGATGTTGCAGGACAAATCTCCCAAGTTCAACCATTCTGCAATGATGGTTCATGCAATTTGGAGATTACTGATGGTGAACTCTTTGAGACTCCTACTCATTTATCAGCATGTGGTTATCAGATTGCATTGCATGCTAACTCACCAGTAGATGGAAATGACCCGGAGTGTCTGCATTCATTACCAATATCATCAAACATGCTTTTGGTTGAATATACCAAGGTGAAAATTGAGTCTCTTGAAGACTCTTGGTTGGTGGAACCTGATCTTACAATTTGTGCAAATGCTGAAGCAGGAAGCAACATAGGTAGACATGTAATTGATGAGTTGTCAGTTGTAGAATCAGATAAAAATGCCAAAAGTATTTCTTCAACCTTGCAAGTTAATGTCAATGAGATGGAAAGGGATGAGTCAAATGATGAACGCAACTGTCAGGATATGAACAGTGATAGGTCTCAGGTGGTCAATGAATTTGAATTTGAAGATGGGGCATCAGCGAATAAGTTTGAAGGTCCGAAAGGAGAATCAGATTGGCTTAAAACACCTGAACAAGTTCCAAGTGTAAACAAGGCAATGGATTTAGATGATCGAGTACCTAATTCATGTGAAACTTGTTACCTGTACAAAGGAAAGGGTACCAACCTATCTCATGAAGGAATCTCAGCTGATAATTTGAGGGTTGCAGATTCTGCTGTCTCGCTTTCTGGTATGAGCCAATTTAGTGCAACATCTGAAATAAGTAATAATAGTCAAATTGTTAGACAAGGAACAACAGAAATAAACATTGATGCTCTGGTTGAGGATAAAAATCTTGAAATGTTTAAAGAAAATAATATGGATTTAAAAACAAATTCTCAACCTGAAGGTCATACCACAGAATTGGAGCCTCCAACCAGAGATGATATTGGAAGGACAGAATTGCAGAACAACGAGGATGTAATTGTTGCAGATAGTGTCTTAAGCTTAACCCAAGAGGATTTCAGCTTCAGGTGTTTACGTAGTGTTTTGAATAATTACTTGGATCAACAGGATGTCCAAGAAACTCCTGTAGAAAGATTCAAACAAAATGCTGATCTCGATGAAACAATTGATCAGTCTCAGAGGCAAGCAGAAGCTTTTTTCAAGGAAGAAATTTCAGAGAATGGGCTTCCTAGTGAGCATTATGATACACTGTATCCCAACAAAGATGAAACTAACAAAATGGAGACTACATGTGGATATCAACTGGAACTGCAGAATGTTTTTGTGGTTGGAAGCATTAACCATGTTAGCAGTGACAAGAATAACTCATATAACCCATTTGTTACAGAAATGGATCATGTGCCCACTGCTGAAAAAGAATATAGTCTTCTCACCATACTCGAGGACGAACCAAACACAAATGCTCACAGTAAAGCTGGTTTGTGCCATGATGATGAAGAAATCCTTAAAACTGAGGAATGCTCTGAATCGAAAGTTGATGTGCGATCTTTTATTGGAAAGCCTGGCAATGATTATGACTCAAAAACTAGTGATAGATCTGGAGTTGCTCCTAGCATCTTTTATCAGTCTTCAAAAGAGGAAGATGTTCATGACAAATCTATGCAACAAAATGAGTTTTATATTGAAAAGGTAGATTACTCGATCAATTCAAACAGCCAAACCGGCAACATTGATGCAGTTTCAGAATCTGTTCCAGGTTAGAATTATATCTGTTTTTCTTTCTGTTTGATGCTAGCGGATACTTTGACATACTCTGGAAATTCATTTTATTATTTGGGAGAAACACTCTTCACATTGCTGCTTCAGGTTTATTTTAACAAACAGTCCATTCTGACAAAGAAGATCTAAGGCATCGAGATCAAGCAAAGATAGATCCAACTACTAAAGAACAGTAATGCTCATGTGATGTAGAACAGAATAGAGAGAACAGAGAAGTAGAGAGAAAGCAAGAGAGCAAGATAGCAAGAGAAGAGTGTAAGAGACTAGAAGAGAGAAGATGCAAGCATTTTTTCATTCAAATCTGAAGTGTTTGATTTATTGACAAGCTCCATTATTCATAAGGGTTTAGGAGTATTGGTACATTTAGTGAAGCCAATGATTCCCAAAACTAATCTTTTAGGGAATTAATATGTTTTCTAGAAATCCAAAATGTGACTTCTAGGATATCTAAATAGTAAATGAGTACATTTAGTACCAAGGGAGTCCCTAGAAAAACTAATTGATGACTTTTTGTTGATTATAAATTTTTCTAAATTTTTTTGTAAAGCTAGATAGTTCTTCATCATCATGTTTCTTCCAAGTTCTAGGCGACCAAATTCAGTTGGTCTGGATCTTATTTCTAATAACACAAGGGTATACTACAAGGCAACGAAGAGGCACTAGAAAAAAAAGGGACATGGAAAAGGCTCTACATGATCCAGAGTAGAATTTCAGTGTGGTTGAGTCAGCATGCCCGATAGTTGCTAGAACTTCATTCCATTTAGTGATTGTCATTAAACTACCCATCTCATATGGAGTCTTAGTTGTAGATGGTGATGCATAATTTATAATTTACAAGAGAAATGTATTTGTCAGATGCCTAGAACTTCTGTAGGAGTCAGCATCTGTAACTCATTGTTGCAAACATTAGAAGTTGAGACTGGTGAACAAACTTTTAGTTCTCTCAGTACCATTCAATTTATTTAGTGACTTGGAAGATGTCATGACCCCTGCAAGATTTGCACTTTGAACTTCTATGAGGTCAACACATGTGAAAGATGTTGAACTATCTATGAGGGCTTTTCTACGATAATGAACTCAAGAGTTCTAAAGTGAACTGTTGTGTTTTGGACATGGCCATCATCATCGAGTTATTTGAAGTTTAATCATAATTCTTTTTTCTTTTTAAGGGTCTTTTACCTGTTTCAAGAACTATTCTTTACCACTTCTATTTCAGATGGAGCAATACCATCCTTGAGTAGTGCAATGGAGGAAGGGTCCAATTTTGATGCAGAAGTTTCACCACCCACAGATTCTCTCGTCACTAGGGATCTACACACTTCTGATCCAACAACAGAAGGTACTACTCACAAAAGCAATCTCGATCACAATGATACATTGGAAGAACCTTCTGATCCAGCAGCAGACTCTCTCGCCACTAAGGATCTACACACTTCTGATCCAGCAACAGAAAGAACTATTCACAATCTCGATCACAATGATACATTGGAAGAACCTTCCTTGATACCCCTTGTGGAGCCAGAGCAGAAATCAGATTCTATTGAGAACAAATCAGTCCATGATTCCAAAGATGAACCGGAAGGAAGAAATATCAAAGAGGAGAACACTGCCGGCAAAGTGCCAGACTCGAATGCTGGAAAACCACATGTTATGCTGAAGAATCTCCTTGCTGAAGCAGAACTAGAGAGTAAACAGGAGGCAACCGGCAGCCAAGGGTACAATGCATCACCGTCGTCCAAGAGAAGTTGTGGGGGTTCACAAGATGATGGACAATCACTGAGAACAGCAATATCCGATGGGCCCCTCGATACTCAAGCAGATCACAGGGAATGGAACTCTCCTGCTAGGCTCCCTGTCACCAAGCATGAGAAGAAGAAAGCAAAAGGAAGGCAATCTTGGGTACCATTCATTTGCTGTCCCTCTGTGAACTGAGTTCATATGCAGGAAATGGAACATTGTTGTCATTCTGTATCCTATTTCTATCGAAAATGAGATATCAAGATATTGCAAGTTAGTTGTAAGTATTAGACCTAGATAACATGATACTCTTCTTTTTGCTTTGTTTTTTTGTAAAATCCAGTTGATAATTCTTACTACATTGGTATTTGGCATCAGTTTCTTTGTGATAAATGTCGGTACACAAGTATTTGGTGAGTGGCTTCAAATGTTAGTCTTGATTAGAATGAAATCTAGTAGTTTATATCTATTTCTTTGCAAGGATTAGACCCCCCCCCCCCTCTTGTTCTTTCCTTATGTTGTTTAGGTTGAAACCTATTTAAGGTTTGCTTAACAATGATTCTTGTGGAGCTAACTAGAGACCAGTATGGGATTCTCATATTAAGGTGAATGGAACTCTAAATAACTTATAGATTTTTAAATATTAATCCAAATATATTTAGGTTCTAATGATAATGGACCTACCATAGTCTAATGAATCAACTCAGTTACTTTCCACATAATCTTTTTGCATCATATTATTCATTCTGATAAGGATGTGATAACTGACATGTTAAATTTATTGATCTAAAATTATATAAGCCCAAATCATTAGTAGTGAAGTCAACAATTGTACTTTCAAATCCAGTAGGACTATATCTGGTGTCAAAAAAGGCAAATATATATGTTCCCTCTTGCACTCGTAACAGCTCAAATTTAAGTGGCTGCAGAGGCAGTGTGACCAGAAAGGTAATAAAAATGTTCTCTCTTGCTGACCTCTTCAGCGTTAACACCACAAAGAATGCAGCAAAGGAAGCATAACGATCCAATTTTGGTGGATGAAAATACAAAAACCAACCACGATGGTAAATTGTCACTTTAAAACCTTACAACACTGTAATTGTCCCCTACAGATGGTTGGACCATCACTTGATACCATCTCATGCATACAAAAGTTTTCATGCCAAGTAAAACGATCAAAGGAATCTCAATGTATCTCGAATGGTCATAGGTAATGTTGTTAGTGACTTCACCCGTTCGTCCCTGTCGCTTGCTGCAGATTGCCTAGTTTCCTGCTTTCTGTAGATTATTACCAAAAGCAAGTCGAGGGGTCATTCATGTGCATTTGCAGCATTAATTTCATGGTTGTTTAACTTTCTAAGATAAAGAGTACTTACGCTGGCTTCCGTTGGCTCTAATTTGCTCATTTTAGCAAAGATGTTGCTGTAAAATTTGGCATCTTTCTTGTTGTATTCCTTCATCTTCTCCTTCAAAGTTTTGTATTCCAATTTCACATCCCTATATGATGACACAACCATGAGTGGACCAAGTATCGATAGTGAATGTCTATACTCGAACAGTAACATCAAAAAATATTTTCACCCTTGGCAAACCTGTTATCAGGATCAATTTCAAGTGCTTTCTTAATGTCCAACTCCGCAAGATCAAAGTCAGCGAGCTGGATATAAGCTTGGGCCCTCCTATACAGGGCCTTAACATTTCTGCTCTCAGTCTCCAGCACCTAGATTTGCAATCGCTCATACTTAGTATACATACAAAATGAAGGACTACTCCATATCGGTCAATTCAACACATATGATGAGCTGAGATAGCAATCAATACCTTCGTGCAGAGCTTTTCTGCCTCTTTGTAATCTTTGAGCTTCAATTTGCAGGCTGCATTGTTGAGACTGCATATGGCTTTCAGTGCTTTGGATTGCTTCTTTTCCTCTTCACTGAATGAGCTGTCATGCTCGATGAACTTTGAACCCTGTACACAAAGAATAACAAAAGAGATAAGTGACAAATATCAAAATAATTATATGGGACAAAGAGACAAGAAACTGATGAAATACATAAAACAAAACCTTTTCGTATCTCTTGGAAGCTCTCATATATTTGCCCATTTTGAACAGTGCATTTCCCTCTTCTTTCTTTTTAGCAGCTGCTTCAATCTTCTCTGCAGTGTTCATGTCCCATGACTCTTTCTCCTGAAGATATATGTTGTGAGATTCGTTTGTTTCCAGAACTAGAATGTGTTCATCAAATATGTAAGTTTGGAAAGAGATACACACCTTTACAAATGATACAAGCTCAACCTCATAAATAACAGTGGAGTTGGCAGGAACCACAGCAAGGTCCTGCTTTGATTCAGTGGACAAGAAGGCATATTCAGGTGGAATTGTCACCAAAGCAATCTCTCCCTTATTCATCGTCATCACTGCTTGGTCAAGACCTTCGATAACTTTTTCTGTCAAAAATATCATGAATCAACCATTCCTATTTTCATTGGCAGTTGATGCAGACCCAAAAAGGAAAAAAAGGACAAAATGATAATAATACCTTCAGCAGTCTTGAACTCAAATGATTCCTGCTCATCATGACCCTTCTTCACAAAAATTGTCCCATCTTGTAGTTTCCCAATCAGTTTCACTGGAGATACCAAACTAAAAATGCATCAGATGTCAACCTAAAGGGAACCAAGTCATATGACTTGTGAATCACTACCTGTCACAACTGCTCCTTCATTTGGGTGATCATAACCTTCTCCTTCCTTGAGGATCATTTTAATGATCTTCTTGTCATCCCCTATCTGTGTAACAGTCTTCCAAGAGACTAACTCAAGCTCCACATAAAGATTTGCATTTGGTGGCACGGCACCTTCGTCTCCAGAAGCTGGTCTACCTTTCTCACCAAACGCATCTGTCCTCCAAAAGCACATCAAACATAATTGCTAAGATTAAAGTTTATAACAATTTATCCGTAGTTAAACTACAAAATTAGTCTGATTAACTTACATTGTGGTTTCACAGTGAGAAGCACCTTTTCAGCCCTCTTCATAGTCTTTACAGCTTTAGCTAGTGCAGGACAGAAGAGACCTAACCCCAGGAACATATTCCAGTAAGCAAATAAGACCAGCATTCCAAAAACACAGTTCGTTCATACTATACCAACCATCTGTAACGGTAAATTCTACTCCCTCTGATTTTGAGATAACAGTTCCATCCTCAAGCCGGGCTTCATATTTCACTAAAGATACAGAAGATATTGCCAATTTTAGGTTTATAAAGCACACATACAACAACGAACCAGTTTTCAAGGACAACAGAATGTACCGAGCACTTCATCTAAATCTTTTGGATTCTCCCACTTTTCTCCTTCCTTGAGGATCTTCTTGAATATACCACCATCTTTGCATATGTCCTTGACACTACACCATGACAGTAGCTCCACATCAAATTGGAGAGTGGCATTCGGTGGGATAGTGGGAGGAGAACCATGTTCACCATAAGCCAATTCCGGAGGAATGGTGAAGATGGCATTTTCACCCTTCTTCATGGTTTTAATACCTTGATCCCATCCCTTTATGACTTGACCTAAAAGAAGGAAAGTGCAAATAAGAGGCTTACGCAATAGATTTCTTGACAGAGGTTCCAATACATGCTGGTAACTGAGGTGTGCAGAACAGGAAGCATGCAGAAAGTGCAAGCAATAGAAGTTGTGAACAGCTCATAGTCACTCTTCTGGTGCTGTTGATGCATATGTGCAGCAGACATTAGGCATAGTAGACAGCAAACACCCAAAGTAACTATCGAGTTTCCAGAAAAGGCAACTATTCATCATATCTTAGATAGCAACGAGCATGGTAGCATTCCTTTGGAGAATCTATGACCAGGAAATGAGCAGAAGCAAGTCTATAAAGACAAAAGCCCACCTTGACCGAGCTTGAACTTGAACGGCGTACCCCGATCACGGCTGGAGTCGAACTTGGTCCCATCGAGCAGAGTCCCAGTGTAGTGCACTGCGATCCAAAACCACAAAGGTCAGGTTTTTCGTCATCCCATAACCCACTCGCCAAAACCAACGAAGGGAAAAGAAGAGCAAAACACGCTACTTTTCACCAAAGCTCGGCAACCCATGTACCTTCAACTTCGTCGCCGGCCTCGGGCACGTCCCACCCGTCCCCCTTCTTGACGAGCTTCTTCTTGAGCCCCTGCTTCCCGATCTCCTTCTCCTCGCCGATCTCGAACGAGGGGTCCTCGTCGGGGGGATCCATCAGGCCGTCGTCCGCCGCCTCCTCGCTACCCGGGAGATCGAAGTCTTCCTCCTCCATGACGGCGGCTCGGCGCAGAGATTAGGGCAACGGGATTGGTTTCGGACAACGCGGGCGATCGAACCGGATGGGGGCGGATAAAGACGAGAGATTTATAGTGAGCAGCAAAGCAGAAGGGCTTCTAGAGACTTCTGAAGGGCGAGTGAAGCGTTTCCCATTCGACCGCTTCTATGTATACAAAGATTATTCATTTTTATATATTTAATTAAACATTAATATTAATATTTTATTTATCTAATTTAATGTTTATGACTGGCTGGAATAGACAATTGTAATCGATGTATTTACTCGTTACTAACCTCCTTTTTTTTTTTTTTTTTTTCTTTCTTATCCTTGACATATGCTTTATACAAAACAGTTAATTCTAGATTTAAATTCGTTGTTGTACATAATATAATGAAAGAAGGGCGATTTTTCTAAAAGAAAGCTTCTATCACTTTTTTTTTTAATGACGCCTCTCATTTTCTTTTTTTTATTTGGTATTTTTATTTTTTTTTAATATCTTAAATATCTTTCGTCATCATATAATCGCTTTCGTTTGTTGTCATATGTCTATGTCTCATTATGAGGTATCATTATTTTGATTCTTTTATTTTCGTTTTATCGTGATCGTTTCCGACGATGAGCGTTGATATGAGAAAAGTAAAAATTGAAGAGCTTTTCTAAGAAAATCAATCGTGCTAGATTAGTAAAAGGAGTTTACTATTCATAATCTTTTTTACTATTTATAATCCCTTAAAAATAATAAAATATTATTTTTATTATTTATAATTTTAATATTATTGATTTTATTCTTTTTTTTCCTACACTCCCTTATTTTATTATGCTCCATATCGCCACCATCACTATTAATATTGTTCACCACAAACGTTGTTTATCATCGTTATCGAAAGTCATCCTCCAAGGAGAAAGGAAAAAAATAGGAGGAAGACGAAGAAGATGAGAAAGAAAAAAATGATATTTATATTTATTTATAAAAAATAATTTTAAAATAAAAAATATATATAATTATAATTTATATATGAATCCAACTTGATCAATACATGTCTAACCTAATCCGATCCACATACTGAATCGAGTGT